GAATTTTCCTGGAGTAAACAACAATTTTCCCATACTTACCAATGGTTAATAAATCCATTTTTACATTCAAAGTTAGTCCCTGGTTTTTTTCTAAAAAGTTTGGTTTTTTGTTAAAATCTCTTAAGAGATTTTAACAGAGTATAGCCATCAATGGAGGTCACGTTGTTTAAAGACAAGCTCAAATATCAGAATTTCGAGCTATAACTGCAGTTTTTGTGGTAAAACAGAAAATATTATATTTCTATGAGTTATTCAAAATGTTTTTATTGTGAAATATAGATCTCATACGAAGAGTTATTATCCCTTTAAAAGGTTACTGCCATTTTTATAAGATCAACTAAGAAAATTGATGAGATGTGAAAAATATCAATAGAACAGTGTTAAATGTCCAATTTCTTCCATTCTGAGATTCTGAACATAGTGAATGATTGAATCTGACAAACTGCAATGATATGAGTTTATTTCCATTTTTGACACATTATTACACAATACACGATAACAAGTTTACCATCATTTTTATATGATCAACTAACAATGTTGAAAAGATTCAGGAAATGTCAAACAAACACTTTTACGTATCTTATTACTTAAATAATATGGCTATTAACATGCCTAAGAATTAAATCTGAGGAAATCTGAGGAAATGTGAAAAAACAGCATAACTTCTAAAATGATAACCACAATTATGCTGATTTTCAAACTCAACCTGCGTTTTAGTAAGACTGACCGTTCCTGTGAGTTTAATGACAATTGGGCTTTCTGTTTTTCTTATATTGTGTTTACAGTGTTGCATATATGCTGAACAATGAAAAAAACACATAACTACTAAAATAGTGGCCCGATCATGCTGATTTTCGAACTTGCCCTGCGTTTTATGAATATTCATCAGCTCTGTAAATATAAAGCCAAAAAGTAAAACTGCCTTCCACTTATGGTGTTTACAAGGAAAGTGCACGGCGACGGCATCGGCATCGCCATCGGCATCGGCATCGGCGACGACAGACGCAGGTGATGGCAATATGTACAGACACATCTGTGTCTGTACATAAAAACAACAATATGTAATATTTCCTTAAACACATGATTCTACAGTTCACAGTGCGTACGTTAGGGGCAGGCCGGGAGGCACCTCTGCTGAGCAAAGAGCACATCGTTTGCGGGGAGCTGAGGAGCGCGAGCATCTGGCGCAGCGCAAGTGGCGCGCGCCGAATGCTCACCGTGTGCGGGCCCCTTTATAGACAGCAGATCACAATATTCATTGCAATCTCCACTAATAGAGCCCTCCGCCTTTTATGGTTAATTATTAGAATGCCAGGGCCACAATAGAAGACAAAAATTAACCTTGAG